AAAATAACATTAAACTGTAATAATGGTTTAGTGATATAAGTCTTACTAATTAACCCATATCTGGGGTTAATTTCTTTGGTTTGGTTTGTTTTACGGCATATCAACCTCAATGGGCTATTTAATGCTGACAACTTATTTCCTTTTGTCAAAAATCTATTTATGGTAATATTTTTTTCCTGAAAAATGTATAGCTGGTAATATTATTTTCAAAAACATATTGCTGGTAATATTTTTTTTTTCAAAAACATATTGCTGGTAATATTTTTTTTTTCAAAAATGTATTGCTGGTAAATTTTTTTTTTTTAAAACGTATTGCGGGTAATATTTTTTTCTTCAAAAATTTATTTCTGGTAATAATTTTTTACAAAGTATTTATTTTTACACTTTTATAATGCTTTTTTTTTTCTGTTTCGGGGTTAACTATTTGCCTATAGCTGGGACCCTAACAGGTGCTACCACCCCGGGTTAGGGTGAACCTGTGAACACCAGCAATTAAGAGGTGGTCCCAGGCTTCTCAAAACCTCCTGCCGTTGGATGTAGTTTAACGTTTTACCCTGCACGTGCATGTAGTTTATCGTTTTTACCCAGGACGGGGAAAAGAGTTGGATTCATGCCTTTCCCAAGGGTATTTGCGTGTAAGTGAATATAACGAACGCAACTGGAATTCGAACTCTGCTCCCAGATTAACAATTCCGAGCCATTATCCATTACACCACTCGCAATTCTCGGCTTCCAGCACCTAGTATTCCAAGCAGTCACCAATCAGAGTACTTAGAAGGCGCAACATTGCTTAACTTCGTGCGTAGCTTTCGACTAACATGAGCCATCTTCATGGTTTGAAAAAGTAAAATAAAAGGAAAGAAAATCAAAAGCGTTTATAAATTTCTTTAAATAAATTTTAATTTTCTTTAATATCCTTTCTTTAATGATAACAATTCAAGTAATACATACAATAGCCAAACACTACATTATCGTGCCAGTTAACTTGTCTTTTATCTGATATTACCTCAGTTAAATGGAATGTCACCAGTGAACACAAAATACAGCAAGAAATACGACAAATTCTTATCAATAACGCAAAGATACTGTATCAGATAAACTGTGAAAAACGACTACAAAATCTTTAATATTAAACTATAAAACGTACGCTAACATCAATGAAATTTCAATTTAGTAACAAATATACTAAATATATTTTACAAATAAAAAAGACACCTCACCGCAAACTGGAGCGTGAAAACGTGATAATTTTGGTTAAAAATGTTCGCCATGTTCACCATAATCTATGAATATAGAATACAGCGCAGTACGTAATCTGTTCAATAAAACAACGTTAAAGATTAATACTCTCGAGTCAGACACTCTACTGAATCTGACTATATCGCAAATACCACCAGCAGCTGTTCAGTAATTCTTCAGTCTTCGATATCAAAGGATTGCAGTGCATATTCGGAGAAAAAAACAAAATGGCTGCCTTTATACACGTCGGATTGAATATTTTGAGCCTTCTGATTGGTTAACCCTTCTATTGGTGAACTATAAAATGAGTCAGCTCATTTTGGCTGGCTCACTAGTACTGGGGTACACAAAAATTCCAACAAAAACGCGACATCAACGAGTGAAAACATACTCTTGAAAATTACCAAAGGAAAGACAACGCATGCAGGCAGACAAGGTCTTATTAATACGCAAAAACAATCTTTTCGTAATGCGTAATGAAATCCAAAAGCACATAAAAGACACTGGCCAATTCCCTGAAAATTAGAAAAATTAATATAAAAAGTCTTAGACAAAGACGTTTTGCTGGTCTTAACCAAACGTATATGTTTCGATTGAATGAATTCCACTTTGAATAGGAGAACAATTCACTCCGAAGAAAATTCATTGCGAACGCACTGATCTCCCAATTCTCCACTAAAAATTACTTTCGAAGTAATAAAATCTCAGATTGAAAATAAACCTATAAAAATCTATTATATCTTATATATATAAATGTATTAAAATTCTATAAAGATCTATTATATGTGTGCTGTATGTGTGTGTGTGTAACCTCGTTAAAAAATTGTAGAAAATGCAATAAAATTAAATTATATTACTTAAACTCAAAATTAACTCATTTCTGTGCAAAATGTAGGCTCCGATTTGAATTTCCATATTTACGTATATCAACCAAGCAGCGACGTTATTTACTAAATAGGCGCGATCTTTGAAATTTAAGACGACTATGTTTATCGTCTGCTATAAAATTTGTAGAATCACTTAAGAAAATGATCAAAAATAGTTTCCTTCCTTAAAAGGAATATTTAAAAATTGGGAAATATTTATTAACCAATAAAATTATGAGTTTAATAAAATCTAATTTTTAATATAAGGGGCTTAATTTTTTACATGGGATATTCAGTTAGTTTTCAGTTTTTTGGTAAACCTTTCACTAGGGTTGTTAGGTCGTTTGCTGAATTCTCATAAAACCTTTCTTATAATTTAATACGTAACCTTTTGTATATTTTATTCAAGTATACTTTATTACAAAAAATTACCGATCTTAAATTAACCACATTTAAAATAAAACATAATAATAGAGTTATTTTCAATACGAATTTCACACGGCTTTCTCCGTAAGCTGACATGCTGCTACTAGAAAATTACAGACATTCATAAAACTACGTAAGTACGTGACGCACTCATCTAAATCTTCGATTTTACATCCCCAAACAGCTACACACACACACACACACACACACACACACACACACACACACACACACACACACACACACACACACACACATTGTTTCATTAGGACAATGCTCTAGCACACAAGTTCTTGGTTTCAATGGCTGCAGTGGGCGACCGTGGATTTGAACTGGTTGATCAACCCTCCCTATTCTCCTAATATGGTCCTATCTGACTATCATCTGTTCCCTAACTAGGAACCTGTATCACAGTGATGACGACGCCATAACTGCTCTATTTACATTATTCGGACTATTGTCGACATATTTATCACAACGTTTCAGCCGTTGTACGCTCCGGCCTTCTTCAGGTGGTTGGAATGAAGAAGGCCTGAGCATACAACGGCCGAAACGTTGTGATAAATATGGCCACAAAGATGAGGACAATGGTCCGAATAATGTAAATAGTTTACATCTCATCTCAGAAATATAGACAGTCATAACTGCTGTTGATGACTTTTTTTTTATCAACCGGATGAAAGCTTCCCCCGCCTAATGAGATCCAAGCATTGTAACGCCGATGTAAGAAGTGTATGGATCGCAAGTGGTACGATGTTGAATAATAAACCTCATTCGGTCACATTCCATGACAGTGTCTTCGTCAGCCTATGAATTTTTCAGTCGACCCTCGTATTTGTCTGTGATTTATTTTCTAAATGCATACTCAGACATCTCTTGTTACTGTAAACATTACATTTGAGGATTTTTTTTTGGGAGGGGCAATGTAAATGACGTCTACCGGCTTGAAAATTCAAGAGTCTTCATCCCCGATAGGGTTCAAAACAGCATACCCCTTTGTAGAGAAGGCCACCTTCAGACCTAGCGTACTTTATTCCGTTTAGTCACAGACAGCTTCACAGACCAGTGGTCTAATGTATACCGGATGAAAAGGTAGTCCATTCTCACTGCAAAGAGGTACGCCAGTTCAAACGATGCCGTTGGGCAAATTTTCAGAAGGTGATTATACATTTGTGGACACACGTGTTTGTGTAGACGCCCTCGTTTTTTTTTCTTTTTTTTTAAAAAAAAAAAAAAAGAATATCCAAAAAACTGGGTGAATTAAATTTAGTGCTCTGGTAAGTAATAAGAAATAATTTGGGATTAAAAAAATTTAAATATAACTTCATTAATTTCTCAAATACAGGCACCTGTTTTCTGTTCATTGTCTGTGAAATGATATATAATTCGGTGATAGTATATTTCATTCGTGTATAATCAATAATCATTTGTGTCTTTAACCTAATTCCCCAAGCCTACTAAAAGCTGATTAGCCACCAACTTGTTTTCAAAAATTCAAAATATCTTCTTCTTCTTCAACTGTAAATGTTTCCTTTTCTTCTTCTTTTTCTTTTTTTACCTCCATCTAGCCTTTTTCCATCTTTAAATGTTCCATCTTAGCTTCTTCCATTTTACTTCTCCATCTTTAAATGTTCCTTTTTACTTTTTTCTTCTTCTTCTTCAAATGTAAATGACCCTTCTTTTTCTTCTTCTTCTTCTTTTTTTTTCTTCTTCTGTAAATGTTTCCTTTTCTTCTTTTTTCCTTCTTCTCCGCCATCTTTAAATGTTCCATCTTAGCTTCTTCTTTTTACCTCCATCTTTAAATGTTCCTTCTTTCTTTTTTTCTTCTTCTTCTTCAAATGTAAATGTCCCTCTTTCTTCTTCTTCTTGTTCTTTTTTTCTGTAAATGTTTCCTTTTCTTCTTTTTCCTATCCGCCATCTTTAAATGTTCCATCTCAGCTTCTTCTTTTTAAATGTTCCTCCATCTTTAAATGCTCCTTCTTTCTTTTTTTCTTCTTCTTCTTAAATGTTTCCTTTTCTTCTTTTCTTCAAATGTAAATGTCCCCCTCTTTCTTCTTCTTCTTTTTTCTTCTTTCTTCTGTTTCCTTTTTTCTTCTTTTTTCCTAGCCGCCATCTTTAAATGTTCCATCTTAGCCACTTCTTTACCTCCATCTTTAAATGTTCTCCTTCTTTTTTTTTTTTTTTCTACTTCTTCTTCTTCTTCAAATGTAAATGTCCCTCTTTCTTCTTCTTCTTCTTCTTCTTCTTCTTCTTCTTCTTCTTCTGTAAATGTTTCCTTTTCTTCTTTTTCCTATCCGCCATCTTTAAATGTTCCATCTTAGCTTCTTCTTTACCTCCATCTTTAAATGTTCCTTCTTTCTTTTTTCTACTTCTTCTTCAAATGTAAATGTCCCTCTTTCTTTCTTCTTCTTCTTCTTCTTCTTCTGTAAATGTTTTCCTTTCTTCTTTTTTCCTATCCGCCATCTTTAAATGTTCCATCTTTCTTTTTTCTTTTCTTCTTCTTCTTTTTTTTTCTTCTCCATCTTTTCTGTAAATGTTCCTTCTTTCTTTTTTTTCTTCTTCTTCTTCAAATGTAAATGTCCCCCTTCTTTCTTTTCTTCTTCTTCTTCTGTAAATGTTTCCTTTTTTCTTCTTTTTCCTAAATGTTCCGCCATCTTTTAAATGTTCCATCTTAGCTTCTTCTTTACCTCCATCTTTAAATCTTCTTCTTCTTCTTCTTTTTCTTTTTTTCTTCTTCTTCAAATGTAAATGTCCCCTTTTCTTCTTCTTCTTCTTTATCTTCTTCTTTTTCTTCTTCTTCTTCAAATGTAAATGTTTCCTTTTTCTTCTTTTTTCCTATCCGCCATCTTTAAATGTTCCATCTTAGCTTCTTCTTTTACCTCCATCTTTAAATGTTCCTTCTTTCTTTTTTCTTCTTCTTCTTCAAATGTAAATGTCCCCTTCTTCTTCTTCTTCTTCTTCTTCTTCTTCTTCTTCTGTAAATGTTTCCTTTTCTTCTTTTTCCTATCCGCCATCTTTAAATGTTCCATCTTAGCTTCTTCTTTACCTCCATCTTTAAATGTTCCTTCTTTTTTTTTCTTCTTCTTCAAATGTAAATGTCCCCTCTTTCTTCTTCTTCTTCTTCTTTTCTTCTTCTGTAAATGTTTCCTTTTCTTCTTTTTCCTATCCGCCATCTTTAAATGTTCCATCTTAGCTTCTTCTTTACCTCCATCTTTAAATGCTCCTTCTTTCTTTTTTCTTCTTCTTCTTCAAATGTAAATGTCCCCCTCTTTCTTCTTCTTCTTCTGTAAATGTTTCCTTTTCTTCTTTTTCCTAGCCGCCATCTTTAAATGTTCCATCTTAGCCACTTCTTTACCTCCATCTTTAAATGTCCCCCTTCGTCTTCTTCTTTCTTTTCTTCTTTTCTGTAAATGTTTCTTCTTCTTCAAATGTTTAAATGTCACTCTTTTCTTCTTTTAAATGTTCCTTCTTCTTCTTCTTCTTCTTCAAATTCTTCTTCTTCTTCTTCTTCTTCTTCTTCTTCTTCTTCTTCTTCTTCTGTAAATGTTTCCTTTTCTTCTTTTTCCTATCCGCCATCTTTAAATGTTCCATCTTAGCTTCTTCTTTACCTCCATCTTTAAATGTTCCTTCTTTCTTTTTTCTACTTCTTCTTCAAATGTAAATGTCCCTCTTTCTTCTTCTTCTTCTTCTTCTTCTTCTTCTTCTTCTGTAAATGTTTCCTTTTCTTCTTTTTCCTATCCGCCATCTTTAAATGTTCCATCTTAGCTTCTTCTTTACTCCATCTTTTAAATGCCTCTTTTTTTTTTTCTTCTTCTTCTTCAAATGTAAATGTCCCCCTTCTTTCTTCTTCTTCTTCTTCTGTAAATGTTTCCTTTTCTTCTTTTCCTTCTTTAAATGTTCCATCTTAGCTTCTTCTTTACCTCCATCTTTTAAATGTTCCTTCTTTCTTTTTCTTTAATTCTTCTTCAAATGTAAATGTCCCTCTTCTTCTTTTCTTCTTCTTCTTCTTCTTCTTCTGTAAATGTTTCCTTTTCTTTCTTTTTTCTATCCGCCATTTCTTCTCCATCTTTTAAATGTTCCTTCTTTCTTTTTCTTTCTTCTTCAAATGTAAATCTTCTTCTTCTTCTTCTTCTTCTTCTTCTTCTTCTTCTTCTTCTAAATGTTTCCTTTTCTTCTTTTATCCTTTTAAATGTTCCATCTTAGCTCTTCTTTACCATCTTTTAAATGTTCCTTCTTTTTTTTTTCTACTTCTTCAAATGTAAATGTAAATGTTCCATCTTAAATGTTTCCTTTCTTTTTTTCCTCCATCTTATTCTTCTTTAATCTTTAAATGTTCCTTCTTTTTTTTTTTTTCTTCTTCTTCAAATGTAAATGTCCCTCTTTTCTTCTTCTTCTTCTTCTTCTTCTTCTTCTTCTTCTTCTGTAAATGTTTCCTTTTTCTTCTTTTTCCTATCCGCCATCTTTTAAATGTTCCATCTTAGCTTCTTCTTTACCTCCATCTTTAAATGTTCCTTCTTTCTTTTTTTTTCTTCTTCAAATTCAAATGTCCCCTCTTTTCTTCTTCTTCTTCTTCTTCTAAATGTTCTTTTTCTTCCTTTTTTTCTTCTTTTTCCATATCCTTTACCATCTTTAAATGTTCCATCTTTTCTTTTTTTTTTCCTCCATCTTTTTCTTTTTCTTCTTCTTCTTCTTCTTCTTCTTCTGTAAATGTTTCCTTTTCTTTTTTTTTCCGCCATTTTTCTTCTTCTTCAAATGTAAATTCTCCCTTCAAATGTAAATTTCTTCTTTTCTTCTTCTTCTTCTTCTTCTTCTTCTTCTTCTGTAAATGTTTCCTTTTCTTCTTTTTCCTATCCGCCATCTTTAAATGTTCCATCTTAGCTTCTTCTTTACCTCCATCTTTTAAATGTTCCTTCTTTCTTTTTTTTCTTCTTCTTCTTCAAATGTAAATGTCCCCTTCTTCTTTCTTCTTCTTTCTTCTTCTTCTTCTGTAAATGTTTCCTTTTCTTCTTTTTCCTATCCGCCATCTTTTAAATGTTCCATCTTAGCTTCTTCTTTTCAAATGTAAATGTCCTCCATCTTTAAATGTTCCTTCTTTCCATTTTTTTCTTTACCTTCTTCTTCAAATGTAAATGTCCCCTTCACTTTTTCTTCTTCTTCTTCTTCTTCTTCTTCTTCTGTAAATGTTTCCTTTTTTTTTTTCTTCTTTTTCCTATCCGCCATCTTTAAATGTTCCATCCAAATAGCTTCTTCTTTTCTTCCATCATCTTTAAATGTTCCTTCTTTCTTTTTTCTTTTTTTTTTTCTTCTTCTTCAAATGTAAATGTCCCCTTCTTCTTTTCTCTTTCTTCTTCTTCTTCTTCTTCTTCTGTAAATGTTTCCTTTCTTCTTTTTTTCCTTTCCGCCATCTTTAAATGTTCCATCTTAGCTTCTTTAACCTTCTCTTCTTCAAATGTCCTTTTTCTTTTTTCTTCTAAATTTTCTTCTCTTCTTTTCCCTATCCGCCATCTTTTAATGTTCCCTTAGCTTTTCTTCTTCTTTAAATTTCCCTTCTTTTTTTTCTTCTTCTTCAAATGTAAAATGTCCCTCTTCTTCTTCTTCTGTAAATGTTTCCTTTTCTTCTTTTTCCTATCCGCCATCTTTAAATGTTCCATCTTAGCTTCTTCTTTACCTCCATCCATCTTTAAATGTAAATGTCCTTCTTTCTTCTTTTCTTCTTCTTCTTCTTCTTCTAAATGTTTCCATTTTTCTTTTTCTCCATTCTTCTTCAAATTTCTTCTTTCTTCTTCTTCCGCCATCTTTTAAATGTCCCCTTCTTCTTCTTTCTTTAAATTTCCTTTAAATGTTTCCTTCTTTTTTTTTTTCTTCTTCTTCTTCAAATGTGTCCTTCTTTCTTCTTCTTCTTTTCTTCTTCTTCTTCTTCTTCTTCTTCTTCTAAATAAATGTTTCCTTTTCTCCCTATCCGCCATCTTTAAATGTTCCATCTTAGCTTCTTCTTTTCCATCTTTAAATGTTCCTTCTTTCTTTTTTCTACTTCTTCTTCAAATGTAAATGTCCCCCTCTTTTCTTTTTCTTCTTCTTCTTCTTCTTCTTCTTCTTCTTCTTTTCTGTAAATGTTTTTTTCTTCTTTTTTCCTATCCGCCATCTTTTCAATGTTCCATCTTAGATTCTTCTTTTCTTCCTCCATCTTTAAATGTTCCTTCTTTCTTTTTTCCATCTACTTCTTCTTTAAATCTTTAAATGTCCTTCTTTCTTTTTCTTCTTCTTTTAAATGTCCCTCTTCTTCTTCTTCTTCTTCTTCTTCTTCTGTAAATGTTTCCTTTCCTTTCCTTTTCTTTTTTTCCTATCTGCCATCTTTAAATTTCCTATCCGCCATCTTTAAATGTTCCATCTTAGCTTCTTTTCTTTTCTTCTTCTTCCATCTTTTAAATGTTCCTTTTCTTCTTTCTTTTTTTTTTTTCTACTTCTTCTTCAAATGTAAATGTCCTTCTTTTCCTTCTTCCTTCTTCTTCTTTTCTTCTTCTTCTTCTTCTGTAAATGTTTCCTTTTCTTCTTTTTCCTATCCGCCATCTTTAAATGTTCCATCTTAG